TCCATTCACCTCAGCCTCCCAAAGGCGCGGGATTACAGGCTGAGCCACTGAGCCCGGCGCAGCTCTCCTTTTTTATAGAAATACTAGAGACACCGATTTACCCATCATTTTATTCACTTAGTAGACCTTGAGATGATCCTATGTTGGCAAGTAAGGTGTTAGCCAATTTGTTTCTTTTTTAACAGAGACAGGATCTCACGATGTTGCCTAGGCTGGTCTCAAACTCCTGGGTTTAAGTGATCCTCCTGCCTCAGCCTCCCAAAATGCTAGGATTACAGGTGTGAGCCACCATACCTGGCTTGCTGATTCTTTGTAACCACTAGATAGTATCCTGCCCTATGAACATACCATACTTTATTTAGCTTCTAATGGATGGATATTCAGGTTGAGGTATTACTTTTGGGGTAGATTTAAGCAGCCCTGTCTTGCTTTCTTCCTGCCCAGACACTTTGGGGAAGGTAGGAGAGGACCCAGCTCACTGCTCACACCACACACACACACACACACACACACACACACACACACACACACACACCCCTTACAACCAAGCAGGATCCACGCCAGGAAAGCGAGTGGCTCATACAATTTGCTGTATTAGCCTCTAGGTAGGGAAAAAGCCCTATGATCGTCCTCATAACCACAGAACATGCAATTGGCAAAACTCAGCACATGCTCCCAACTTAAAGTAAAATACTTCTAAGAAGACACCGCCAGGAGTTGCTAAATAACTCCTCCATCCACATCTCACTTAATGGGGAAACGTTCGCTTACCCACCGAAGTCAGGAACAAGACAGCTTTGCCCACCATTGCCCTCTGTCTTAGTGAGGCATGAGAGGGTGGCTGAGGCAATGGGTGGAGCCAATTCAAGAGGGCAGAAGTGGAAAGAGGGAAAACCATGTCTGTTTGCAGAGAATGTGATGATATTTCTGGAAAACCCAAGAAAATGGACCAGTCGACTAGTATAGACTTAAGAGAATCTGATAAAGTGACAGGATGTAGCATGAATATACAGAAGAGAGCCTGTGCTTCACACATGCAAAAGCCACCAGTGAGAAAAGGAGTCTCTGCTTGCAACAGCAACAAAAATACAAAATGCTCAGGCCAAACCTCTCTAAATGTGTGCAAAATCTTATTTTTTATCTGCTTATCTCACTCTCTTGCCTAGACTAGAGTGCAGTGGTGCAATCATAGTTCACTGTAGCCTCTACCTCCTGGGCTCAAGTAATCCTCCCACCTTCAGCTCCAGAGTAGCTGAGACTACAGGCTCACACCACCACACTCAGCCTGGAAAATCTTTAAAGAAAACATTAAAAAGAAAATATTCCTAAGTGACTCAAAGGCAGGCATTCACAAAAGGATCACATACATATTCTTGGGTAGAAACACTCCACATTAAAAAGAAGCTGAGTTTTCCTAAATTAGTACACTTGTAAGGTCATCCAAACGGGATATGGTGGAGTTGGGTTGATTCTGACATTCGTATTCAAAAACAAAACAGGAATGGGCAGGCAGAGAAAGGCAATGGGCAGTGGGAGTGGTGGAGTGGGTATTCAGCCCCTACCAGATCTTTTTTTTAATTAAAAAACATTTTTCAGCCATGTGCGGTGGCTCACGCCTATAATCCCAACACTTTGGGAGGCCAAGGTGAGAGGATTGCCTGAGCCCCCAGGTTCGAGACCAGCCTGGGCAACTTGGTGACACCTTGTCTGTACAATAAATCAAAAAATTAGCCGGGCGTGGTGGCGCGTGCCTGTAGTTCCAGCTACTTTTTTTTTTTGAGATGGAGTCTCATTCCGTCGCCCAGGCTAGAGTGCAGTGGCACACTCACGGCCACCCCAGCATTGACCTGCTGGACTCCAGCGATCCTTCCACCTTAGCCTTCCAAGTAGCCAGAACTACAGGCGTGCGCTACCATGCCCGGCTAATTTTACCTGAGTCCTGCAGGTTGATGCTGGGGTGGCTGTGAGCGTACCACTGCACTCCAGCCTGGGCAACAGAGTGAGGCTTCAACTCAAAAAAATAAAAAATTTTAAAAAATCTGATTTTTAAAACAGTGCAAAATATAAAAAACTGTACACCTTTGGAAAAACAAAAAAATTTTTTTAGAGTCACATCTCCCTAAGTTACCCAGACTAGTTTCAAATTTCTGAGCTCAAGCAATCCTCCTGCCTCAGCCTCTTGAATAGCTGGGACCCAGGTATGTACTACTCTGGCCTACCCTACTAGATATTGAAATGTGGCTGGGCTTGGTACCTCAGCCTGTAATCCCAGCACTTTGGGAGGCCGAGGGGAGTGGATTGTCTGAACCTGCGGGTTCAAAACCCGCCTGGGCAACTTGGCGAGACCTCATCTCTACAATAAATCAAAAATTAGCCAGGTGTGGTAGCGCGCGCCTGTAGTTCCGGCTACTTGGAAGGTCGAGGCTGCAGTGGCTGGGAGCGTGCCACTGCACTCCAGTCTGGGTGACAGAGTGAGACTCCAACTCAAAAAAAAAAGATTGAAACATCGTAAATGTCTAGAACTAAAACAGAGATGCAGGAATGGATAAACAGAATAGAAAGCCCAGAAACAGACCTGAGTGAACATGAAAATTTGGTATATGGCGAGGCAGACTCTTAAGTCAGTGGGGAGGCAACATAGACTTTTAAACAAATGATGCTGAGACAGCTAGAAAGCAATTTGGAAAAAGATAAAATTGGCTCCTTCCCAACCAAGCACAGTGGCTCACATCTGTAATCCCAACACTTTGGGAGGCAGAGGAAAGAGGATTGCCTGAGTCCAGGGCTTCACGAACAGCCTGGGCAACTTGGCAAGACCACATCTCTATAATAAATCAAAAAATTAGCCAGGCATGGTGGCACACGCCTGGGGTTCCAGCTACTTGAAAGGATCACCTGAACCCAGCAGGTCAAGGCTGTGGTGGCCGTGAATGTGCCATTGTACTCCAGCCTGGATGACAAAGTGACACTCCAACTCAAAAGTAAAAAAAATTTATAAAAGAGCCAGGCATGGTGGCGTCACCCTGTGGTCCCAGCTACTCAAGAGGCTGAGGCAGGAAGATTGCTTGAGCCTAGGAGTTTAGGGGCAGCCTGGGCAACATAGTAAGATCCATCCCTGAAAAAGTAAGTAAATTAAAAAAATAAATAATATACAGAGAGTGAGAAGAAGAGACACAAACTGTATACACATCTACTTTATACTTGCAAAAACAAACACCTGAAGAACAACCCAAAAACTCTTGGAAATGAATCTTTATGAGTGGAGAATGGTATGAATTGGGTGGGGAATAGACAGGGGTGAATAGAAAAAAGATATCTGTGGATTGGATATACCTTTGTATGTGGCTTTGACTTTTTTGAGTCACACTTTTGAGTCTCTGTCGCCCAGGCTTGAATACAGTGGCACAATCATGACCCACTGCAGCCTTGACCTCCTGGGCTCAGGTGATCCTTCTACCTCAGCCTCCTGAGTAGCTTGGACTACAAGTGTGCACCACCATCCCAGCTAATTATTTTTTCATAGAGACAAGTTCTCATTATGTTGCCCAGGCTGGTCTCAAACTCCTGACCTCAAGCAATCCTCCCACCTTGACCTCTCAAAGTGCTGGAATTACAGGCATGAGCCACCATGCCTGGCTGGCTTTGAATTTTAGAATCATGAAATAATTTACCAATTCAAAATTCAATTTGGAAAAGCAATCCCTAACTACTGAAAACCGAATAAAAACAAAGTACCCAACTGTATATCAACTTTATTACATTATAACACAGAGAAAAGAATGATTTAAGCTGACAAGTGACCTGGTGTTTCTATTGTCCATCCATAGTGCAATAGAGTTGGCCTGCTGTATCCATGTGTTCCACATTCATGGATTTAACCAACCTCGGATTGAAAATATTCGGGAAAAAAACTGCATCTATACCGA